TCAGTATTTCACACAATCCGGGTAATCAGTTGTCTCAGACTGTTTGAAACCGGACTTCTAGAGGAATAAAGTACATGTAAAAATAATAATTTGTTTAAAAATATTTATGTCATACTTATTTTTCAATAAATAAAATGCGATTAATAAACTCAGATGTCTTTATTATGAATTATTTTTAAACATGCATGTTCTTCTTCATTTGTTATTCTCTAAAAATTGTAGTATTCATATCTGAACATTTTTCTTCTGTGGCTTTTCCTCTTGAAGTATATCCTTGTAGCAATAAATTGCGCTGCTTGTCATTCGGCGTATTATGAAGTTACACTTAACATTCAGATCACGTTCCACAACACGCTGTTCGATTAGATGCATTCATTTACGTTGGTGTAATCATTGAATCCAAGTTGTTATACCATTCTACTCGTAATTATGCTATTAACAATTTCAGCAAAATGAGTTTAGAAACCAATGAAATCATTTGCACAATGTGGCATGATATGTTTCCGTACTGCACTTAAAATGCTTGCCGTTAACTTATGCTTTTTTTCCCTTATTTTTTCGATAACGTTTCTGATATTGAGTATCTTTCCCAAAATTCCATTTACCTACCAATGGACGAGCGGTTAAGGCCCCTAAACACTGGCTGTTTAATCCAAGTTCAAACCCACGCGTATGGGCTGGCTTGATGGTTGGTTTTCGTGGATTTTCCCATGTATAATGTGAAAACGAGCCAGTTTCTCGTAGAAAAATCCTCCACAAATGCGTTCTTCGCCTTAGAGGCAAATACCCCTCGTATGCATTTCAATAATCAAATAATAAATTTCTATAATCAAATTATCTAATCAAAAATTGCAGCAAAGTACGCGCATTTTCTCCTGTTGCAGTTATTACGGCTTAAGAAAAAGCTAAAATAACTTTAATAACCCAAAATTAAAATATGCAATAATATTGCAAAACTTTTAAACCGCGTTAAAATAAATCGCACTAAAAGAGAGTTTACTCTGTAAAGGGGGGAAAAACAGTCCTTTATGTATTTAAATAACTTTGTGTACTTATTTTCAAAAATTTTTTTTTGCTCAATTAAAATTTTGCTTGTTTTAGAATTTTCAAATCAGACTGCAATGGATTTGGACTGATCGAAGCCGGACTATGCAAGATATTGCTGTGTTGCCCAACTGATTCTTAAAGAAAGAAATTCGGAAAAAGTGAAGGATGGTATTAATAAAACAGAAACACGAAGGAGAGAAAATGATCACAGAAATCATTGAGAAATATTAGAAAATTATCACTTTAATGTAAGTTTGTTTGATTATGCGTTCGTCGAACACTTTCGGCGGGAAAAGATCTCGGATCTACGTAGCATGTAAAAAAAGCCAGGAAAATTCCCATGCAGCTAGTTAGTTGGGATTTGAAGCGTTGGTCAAGCTAGAACAGTTTAGCGATTTTACCGTTCAGCTGCTGGTGAGCCTAGTACCACCATAAGAGTTTCGTTGAAACGCATTTCTGAAATGAAAAGATGCAGAATTTCTGATAGTTGAAGACAAAGTTTTAAGTAAGACAAAGAGTTTCATATAACATTCGACAAAAAAGTTTAAATTTTATTGAAAATTTTCCGAGGAAAGTAGGATCCTAAAGGTTACTGAAGATGTTCACCGAGATTTCTGAGCAGTAATAAACAATGAAGTTCTGAAAGTGATATTAACACTGGCAACGAACAGGGCAATGGGAAAACTGCAGATATTTCTAAATATTTAGTTGGATGTTAAAGGAAAGCAGATTAGTTGATATCTGAAAATAAATTGAAGGAGACAGTAATCGACTGGAAACTTAACTAATTTAGCTGGATATTAAAGAGAAGCAAATTAGTTGAGATTCGAAATAAATTGAAGAAGACTGTAATAGACTGGAAACCTAATTAATTATACGATAAAAACTGTAACTTCGTGTAGTAAATTTTACAATTTAAAATCTCCACTGGCAGATTTCTAATATAGAATTTAGAATTAGAATCAGCATTAGAATTAGTCCGTGTTATTGCAAACATTGAATTTCAGGTCTTTAATATCATATAACGCAGTTTCTGTGTTGAAATATTGTAGGATTTATCCTAAGTTTCTAATAAGTTATTTTAAGTTAAAGCTGTTTTCCTGTCCATCCAATTTCAGCTTACAATTTCCTACCAAAATATGTTTTTAGAATCACGTTTAATGCAAATGAGTAATAGTATGTACGTCGAAGTTCCGCTGGCTTCGCGGAAGAGCCTCAGGGTTCCTGATTAGCGCGCGTTTGCCTTTTGGCTACGACTTTCTAAGCTCTACTATGTTTTTCCGAGAAACATGTTTTCTTGTTTACACGCTCGGCCATATTACAGGCATTTGATAGCTTCGCTAGTTCATTCGATATTTAGGGGCCAACTAGTACTTAGAATTTTGATAGCTTCGGCTACATCTCTTTAGTTAAGCACTAGTTAAGTTTTATTTATTATTATTTCGAGTTCAAGCCCAAGTGGAGGCTTTGCTGTACGCTCTAAGAAAGGGGCCATCTGTTAAATTCTTGTTTTGAGTAACAAAGGGTAATTAAACCTTCTCGAGTTTACGTCTTTGTTCCTGAACTACAGCGATTATTCGCTTAGCTGTTCATTAGAATCCTCCACATTTAGCTGTTAGATAAAAGGGTGGAACTCCACAATATCAAGAATTACCTATCCCCCCCCCCGATATCAGTACTCGCATTATAGTTTTCGTAGAATAGCAAATAAGTTTAGAAAACTTGTTAGATGATAAAGTACACTTTAACAGCGAAAGCTACGAAAATAATAAACCGAAACGTTTCTTAGCTTTTGTTTTAGGCTCCTGTTCAAAGTATTACTAAATTACTAACTCAAGATTATAAGGTGATCATAGCCCTTAACTGAGAAGAACTTAATATTTCACGTACTTCATACTCATTCAGTATAAAAAAACCAGAGAGGTTCCTACGCTTAATAAAAACAGTACTTATTTTAATCATAACAACTTTGAGTGCTGAATAAAAGCTTACGTATGCTTGTAGAGACATTAGGTATTTTTTGAAGCAGGCAAGATGAAAAATTAGCAACGCCTTCGTCCAGGAATCGAACCGTGGACCTCTGGCATACGCGCCCAGCGTGCAGACCATGACACCACGATGGCATGCCACAGAAATACCTTATATGCTATGAAAACTACTGTAACGCTTACCATAAAGCTGATGAATGCTATAAAAACTAGTATAATAATATAGTTCTGATTCCATACACCCAGAAATAGAAGCTGATTTCATTTATTTATTATTGTCAAAATTAAGCACTGTGGATTCTGAAATGAATTTAAACTTCTCTATTTTTCGATTAAAAAAATTTTTCCGAGAAATATGTTTTAAGTAAAAATTTTATATCATTTTGGAGCGAAAAGTTATTTTTTCTGAATTAAATGCTTTAAATGTAAAAAGGGCATGCTGCATTTAAAATGGATATGCGATTTGAAAATACACAAAATCGCATAAAGCGTGTTCAGTCGTTAAATCTAGCAGACCGAATGCATCAATGGCTAGTATAGTATATTCATTGCGATGTAATGAAGTACTCTGTTAAATTTATATCTGATAAATATGTAAAATTAGGTAACACATTATCAAGTTTATGTCAATTTAAAATCTTTATGCATAAACATGCAAAAAATTTTATCCATAAATCAGGAATTAAAAAAAAGGCAACTATTAAAAATTATTGAGTAAAATTTGGCAAAAATACGACTCAGATTTCTTAGAAATATTATTAATTTTCAAAAATTTTTTTACATGATGAATTAACGTACGCTTTATACCACCGTATGAAAAATTTGTCAAAATAACAAAGAAGGAATTCTTCAATGCAGGATGTCGTCACTCTTCACATGCATGCAGAACACACAGAGATGTTTCGCAACTGATAATAGCATTTAAGTGATCACTTAATTATCATTAATTTTGTTAGACTCTTTGAAATTCTTCTTTGGGAAGGAGGATAAAGGAGGTAATGTTACAGCCTATTCACAGAAAAGGTTATTTTTGTATTTATTTCTTCGTTAGCCGCTGATTTCAGTCCTTTTGTAAATACTAATTTTTTTAATAATGATTTTTCATTTTTTTCTTAACTCATAAAAATCAGTGCATTCTTGAACTTTACTTTTCTTTATCTTTACTTTGTAAATTATTCAGCATTTTTTGATTGATTTAACGAATCATATCTAATTGATACTAAGTCCGTAACCTTATATTTTAAGCTTATGGTTCACCTTTTAGCTTTTCCTATTCTCATTTAAAGACACTGCATGGATAAAAATTAAAGATCTTCTAGCCACAGACTGAACAATAAAATATATCAAACATATTCACTATATATTTCATCGTAGTAATGGTCTTCAAATTTTACCGGCCCACAAAACCCCCTAAAACTATTTTTTTTTTTTCTTTTTTTCAAGTTTCTAAAACTACAATTTTTCTATGGAATTCCTTACTGGGTAACTTTCTGGAATAGAATTCCTACCATCCACAAGAAAATAAATGCTAAAAAAGCACTGAAAACATTAATATTACATTAATTTTATGCAGAAAATGGAAAGAAAATCGTTACTTTATTACAGTTTTACTCATAAGAAGAGATTTACTTCATATTATTTTAGATAACAAATTAATGGAAATAAAATGCATTATTTAATTAATTATTTAAATGGCTGTTTTCGCACTCCACGCAGTATTAGAAAATTCTTTGGAATTTCGATTTTTATTTGTAGAACTTCTAGAACGAACTCCTAGAAAAAAATTGCTTGGAACCAAAAGGTTATGCGAAACACAGTCTGATATACCACTGCACTAGAGTAAAACATCTCTAACTTCAGGATGAAAACTTCGGATCGTTTTCTGCAAACGCTGCAGTGATATGAATTAGAAGCACGAATCGCAATTAAATTCAGTAACATTAGTTTAGTTTAAAAGTATCTTACCCCTCTTCTCCTTACAGCTGCTTGTAATAACTCTCCCACATCTTCTCCTTCTACTCCAGAACATTTGAATCCTTTAGTCCAAATAGTGAGCCTCGCACTCGCTAAACTTTCTTGTTTACAAGGAAAGCTAAATGTAAACCCAAGGGGTAGGCGGTGATTTTTCACACCTTGTCTTTCCATGAAATTAGCCAGACACTCTGCAATATGGTCAAAGAGCTGGAGGGAATATTTATTTTTAATGTAGCAGACATAACATAAGATAACAGAATACTTGAAATAATATTTTTGGGCTAAGAATTTTAATGTATACAGAAAAATATGATGATAATTGTTTTCTGAATTAAAATAATGGGTTTAAAAATATATGATTCAGGCAGGTGCGATAAATGTTTTTCATGCATAGGACTAAAGATCAGTGCTATGAATTTTTAAAAAATAGTTCGTAATTAAAAAGGAGGGATGATTAAATAAAAATTCATTCCAAAACCTAAAGGAACTGAACTCACAGAAATCTAGAAAGTTGATACGTAACATGAGTAGCATTGTATTTTATTTTTCTACCAGTTAATTTTGGTTTTGGAAACAGCCGTTCCTTTACATTCTCATTTTCCTGCCGGAATAAGTCTTCAGTTTCACGCTTTATGCAATGTAGGGTAGAAATTACTATTAAGCTGAGGTCTGAGCTACTTTCAGACAAGAGCGTGTTCTGCCTTCTGGTCACGTTGTTTCGATATTAGTTAAAGCCTGCTGTTTAACAGCCGTGCATATTAATTGCAGGTTAATCTACGTAGGTGATATTAGCAAAGAGTCAATTAAGCGTTAAATATCTCTGTGTAGCTTTGCCTGATTATTCAACTTAGAATTAGTTTACTTTTACGTTTAAGTTAAAGAGCTGGCTTTGTACACCTACGTAGGACCATCTGTGAAAATGTTTGAGTTAAAATAAATGGGTATGTTAACCCTTTTTATGTTGTTGTTATAGTCGCTTTACAGTTCTAGTAGGTTCTAGCATTGAAATAACCGTAATTTAGCTAGAACACTATATATCGATTATTGGATTAAGTTATGACTCCATGTATTGAGACATGAAGAATTCTTTCAACAACGAATAAAACATATTAGTAAAATTCATCCTTATTCTAGCTATTAAAAATACATTTATGAAAACTTCATGAAAACAAAACTGAAATTACATTATTTCGATACAAAATTAGAAAAAAGAAGAAAAGCATAAAATGGTTGTTTAACACTACATAAACATATTTAATTACCTAAATGTATACTATGATCTGACATTAGGAACGTACAGAGTGCCCCACGGAAAAGCAGTTTGCATTCGAATATAGTATGACTAAATGGACACTAACTTTATGATGGGATGTGCACAGGAGTGAAGGGGAAAGCAAAATAAAAGCTGGAATACTTTTTTTTTGGCAATACCAAATCGATGGACAGATAGTCGGCAGGAAGAGAGGAAGGGCAACGCCTACCTCCAAACAGCCTAGCACCGGCATTGAGGAAGGGCTTTTGACGTAATAATTGGGAACTGAAACTTTTAACTCAAACCAAAATCTTTCTCTTCGTATGCTGACATATAGGATAACTACACACTTTAGCTTCTGTCTATGCGCAATTTCGCTGCCCTCGCTTCCTATCGCAATAATATAAAAAATGTAAATGTTCTTGAATACGCATCACTAGAGTGCCAAGCGAATTATGGCCACAAATGTCAGTTGCAAATAAAAATGGAATTAAATCTGCCTCGGCTGCCAAGTTTTTTAGATATTACGAAGTTAACATATTTGCATAATACGCAATCAGAATTCTTCCTCTTCAATATGGATCTACGATCTATTCTATATAGCTATTACGTATCGACGCTGTTCCGACTTTTCCTTGCTATTATTACAGATATATATATATATATATATATATTTAATAAAAACAAACTGAGAAGTAATGGCCAGCAGGAATTTTGATGGCGTAGAAGTGTTGATGCAGAATCAATAGGAAACTGGAGGCTAAGGCAGATTAAATCTTCATTTTTTATTTCAGCAAATATGCTGTGGCCACAATCAAGTTGGCACATTAAATGTGCCTATTCCAAAAAGTTTACATTTTAGAAAAATTTACAGTAAGACAAAAGGAGCAGACAAACTGCAGTCGAACTAGGTGCGTTACATTCAGGGTTAAATCTTAATTTAGACTGAGTTAGTTTTGGTTTTCAATGTATTTTGATTGCATAGCTAATAATTCTGTAAAATTATTATTGGCTGTTTAAATTTTAGTTAAATTTACATCATCAGAATTATGTAAGAATGATCTGACATACATTAACATCGAAATGATGCAGTGCAGAGAGTTTGCTATTTTTAGAACAGCGAAAGGAATTTATACTGCTAATTTAATCTTTACATATTCTTTATTTTTCGTACATATATAAATTTTTATATTTTCTCTACGAGGGGTGGTGTCAAAATTCTAATTGCACATTCCTGATTACGCACGCCCTCCTACTATTTGATTTTTTTGTAAATTTGCTCAGAATTTATTTGAATACGCTCAATATATAAATATTTCAATGTAAATTTGTACACGTTCTAACAACATTAACAATATTTGTGACGTATCTGTTGATTGCCACATATTTTCACTTTTTAAAGAAAGTTTTATAATACAGAAAAAACATAGCAGTATTTCCTAAAAGTAAAAAGAGCAATTTATTATGCAGCTAAAATTGCAATACGTTCTTACTTGAGTGCCTGTACCAAGCATAATTGATTCTGGAATTCCAAATACTTCGTTCTCCATTTGGAAATCTTCTCCATTAAGCGTGATTAGTAATACTCGGAAATTAGTGCCACCAAGATCGAGGGCAAGAAATTTTCCTTGTTCTAGTTAGAAACAACATAATATTAATCTCTGTAAGACATGCAATAAAGACTTTTAAGCCTTACACTACTATACTTATTTAATAAAATCGCATTCACAAAATAGGGAATACAAAAATTCTGGCTTAAGTTTCATAATGACTAACAAATATTACAACGTTTCAATCTGAATTAAGCACGCATACTCATAACCTGTACTTAATTTAAACAAAAATATTCGCATTTTGCAAATTCAGAAGTCGAAACAATGTCAAAATATACATTTCTTGGGGGGGGGGAAGGCCGTATAGCTAGTTCTGTCTTCTCAAATTTTATACTTACATATTGTATGAGGTATCTCTCCCGCCTTCTTGGCATGCCTTCGTGGTGTGGTGGTCTGCACGATGAACGCGTATTCCAGAGGTCCATAGTTCGATTCCCGGCGAAGGCGTTGCTCATTTTTCATCTCTCCTGCGTCCAAAATACCTAATGTCTCTACTGTGGGGCCCGAACTAATAAAGGGTGTTGGATGATGATTCTCCACACCCACGATTTGGCAATTGGTTCCCCTAAAATTCCAGTCGAGCTTTAAAAGGAGGAGTATATGACGTTTTCTTCTCGCCTTCTTGGTATGCCTTCGTGGTGTGGTGGTCTGCACGCTGGGCACGTATGTCAGAGGTCCGTGGTTCGATTCCCGGCGACCACGGACCACGGCTCATTTTCCCTCTCTCCTATTTCCAAATTACCTAATGTCTCTACAATCGTAGTTATATTTATTCGCTGAAAGATTCAATTTTTATTATTTTAGAAACTGTTTCTTTATATAGTAGACGTCCGAAAGCTGGTTGCAGGAAAAATTTGCCAAGCGTCGAGAAAGAAACATACGGTATCCATAACCTAGTACCAAGATTTCCTTATGTTCGTTCTCTTTTAAAAGAACTACGGTATTATGCCAAAATTTTATGCTCTTTTTGTTTTTAAAGAACAACAAGCGTCGAGAAAGAAACATACGGTATCCATAACCTAGTACCAAAATTTCCTTATGTTCGTTCTCTTTTGAAAGAGCTACGATATTATGCCAAAATTTTATGCTCCTTTTGTTTTTAAAGAACAACATGCGACATGCGACGGGGGACGTGGGCACCACCCCTTTACCGTCGATTAATTGGTGTAGCGCCACGTCCACCAATATCTAGAGTTGAATCTAGAGTCTTTCAAAAGAGCAATTACATGGCCATACTAGGGCTGTTAATATTTAGTATTACATTGTTGTTTGCTGGTTAACATATTCTATGGATAACGTGATTTACAGAGTTACGTACTGACTTTGTCTCTCATTTCCGGCATACAGTGCATATGCATTACCTTAATTACATTAATCTTACATTGCGTTGAATTACTTTTGTGTACATTTACAGTTTTTAGCTGTGCATTTCAATAAATATACCTACATTACTTGTAGATTGCATATAAATACAGTTTGCATGTACAGTTACATATGCCAATATTACATGTGCCTTGCGTTACATTATTTTTATATACATACATAGTCAGGCACGCCTGCTTCACATATTACTTAATTTTACCTTGTAGGGTTTATATTTATTTTAACTAACATTTATTTTAAGTTTAAACTATCTTTCCTGTCAAGCCTTACTTTCCCTTGGAACTGCCAATGCCAGAGTATGTAAATTTTAGTAGAACGCGCAAGCATTCAAATTATCAGGGGAAGTATTCTGAGTTAAATAGAAAGGAAACGAGTTCGAAGTGTGCTTTTCGTATTTCACGAGCGCGGAGGTAGTTAGTTAGAAATTGAAGAACGTTTCGGCCTGTGTGCTTGCCTCGGCAAGTTGTTAAATCTTTCAACGTAATATTCAGAGTTTGCTGAATTATCAGCGGTACTTTAGAACGCGGTGAGGTTAGTTACGTTTAGAGAGCCTCGTAGTTAGTCACTCGTTATTATCTTTTTTTAGTTTATTATTTTTATTTTACCGCCGGGTCGGCGTAGTTTGTGTCAAGAGCACGCATTTGTAATTTCTAAAGTTGAATAAAAAGGGACTTAAACCCTTCTCAAGACTGTCTAATTTCCAGTTTCAGCAGTCACCACTTTGTTGCGTGCAGGTTGGAGGCGCGCAACTTTACTACCTACACTGCTTAACTTTAGGTTACATATACTTGCAGTTGCATACAGATACGTGCAGATACATTCTGATTAATTTTTAGATACAAATATTTACAAACATTATAGTCTTACAGATTACTTACATTACATGTTATTTGGGTACTTATTGCATAATTTTCCAGTACATGAAATAGACATTCCAATATATACATTGTTTTGCGTTAGACATCCTATATTCCTTATTCATAACACAAAACATATATGTTACCCATGCATTTATATTGCATTACTTTAAATTGCATAACTTACTAATACATAGCTTACTGATACACAAAAATATTTACTTATTTACATATATTACACTCCCTTACATTACATTGCTTACAGATATATGCACTTTCATACATTCGTTATGCATACATTATATATCGGTGCATTATATATGGACTTACGGTATAATTTGCCTAAATTTATTTACACAGCACATGCACATTGTTAACTGACTTTCCAGGTATGAATACAGGCAGTCTTTATACTGGGAGTTTCTAGTCTACATTATAGTTTCTTACAATTCACTTGAATGACAGTTTTCCTACATTGCAATACATGCCCTTTTTAAAATGCTTAAGTTGTTTTTACATGCTGGGTTGTTCTATGGCTGACACAAGTCTGTATCTAAGTCGGACAGTCTGTCCATCAACTGTACCAGCTTTTTAATAAAGTGCCGCTGTTTTATCATATATTTACAGAATGGCTGGCGATTTGTTTCAGGGAGATTGATATGCAGTCCTTCTGTTAATGGGCATGACGTTAGATAGTGCTCTGGTGAGCCTGAGTCGCCGCATGCACATTGACTTGTGTGACTTATGCCACGCTTGAAGAAATATTCCGGGTAGGGTCCATGCCCGGAAATGAACCTTATCAACTGTGCGTTCGCTACATTTCGGCTAGTGTCCACATAGCCGATGAAGTAGTGGGTCCTTCTCCCTGTGGTGCTTTGGTCCCATTCGTACTGCCACATGCCAGTGGCCCTTAGGCGTAGTGTCTTCTTTAAATACGAATGCGGCCATGGGATGATAATTGGTGCATCAGGCGGGTCAGTTGTTGCCTCTTTGGCGAGTTGGTCGGCAAGCTTCATTGCCATAGTGGCCAACATGAGCCTTTATCCACTCTAATTTTGTGCGGTACTGGGGGTTGCTTCTAAGATCTCTCTGGATTCCCTGTATAATCTCCGAGGGATGATCTGCATTCCAAATGGCATATAACGATGATAAGCTGTCCGTTTTAATGGTGACATGGCTATGCTGGTGCGAGTGCAAGTAGCGAATCGCTTGTGCAATTGCCACTGCTTCGCTTTGAAAGACACTGTTATGTTGTCTTAACTGTCCCTTCCATTTCTCGATTGCGTTGTCTTGTTTCGTGGCGACATAGGCGCATCCCACTCTTTCGTCCAATCTAGACCCGTCTGTATAGATGGTCATTTCCCTTGAGTGATGAGTTGCAGTAGGATTAATTGAGATAAGTATCCCTTTGCCTTTCTCTGTTGGGTGGACGTCAAGAGGGCAGAAGTTTGTTTCGTACTCATCCGGGTAGTATGTTTCATCGTCAAAAGTAACTGCCTTCTTAAGTTGCAAAATGTGTTGGCGTGCTGCCTAAAGAATACCCTGGAGACGCACCCTGCGCACAAGGGAAGAAATATAAGGATTCACGTCAGCAGAAGTGGCGAGCAAATTACAATACAGGATCCACGGTACCCAATGCAGTACTATACAGATGGATCCAAGCTCGACGAGGTTACAGGTAGTGCCTTCGTCCTGTACCACGGAGGATGCAAGGAAATCGAGTGGAAGGGGCATCTTCAACCAATAAACAGTACATTCCAGGCTGAAGTCATAGCCATTACCACTGCGATTCAGCATGCAATTGACAGCGGGATCACCGATGCAATGCTGTTTACAGATAGCATGTCAACGCTATTCGCCCTAGTCAACCATAACCACACCTCCCCATTGGTAGCGGACCTCCAGAATATTCTACAATCACATCCTCAACTAACTGTAAATTTAATATGGACTAAGGCACACGTTAACAACGAGGGTAATGAGACAGCTGACCAACTGGCAAAGGAGGCAGCAAGCAACATAGCTGCACAGATGGTAACTATTCCAGCGCCACCCTCGTATCTCAAGAGAACTCTTAAGGAAAAAGGTCTGCAGAAGTGGCAAGCTGAATGGGAGACCTGTGATACGGGTCGCAGAACCAATTTATTTCTGCCTAGAGTGAAAACGGAGCGCCAATACTCCATACCTCCCATCACTAATTACATCTCGGGGCACGGGCCTTTTCCCACCTATTTTGAGCGATTTGGTATCTCTCATACAGGCTTGTGCGTCTGTGGGTCGCTCGGAAACTCCAGACCATTACATCTTTGAATGCCCGCTCACGGAGGATAATCACCTCCACTTGCCAGCAGACAACCAAATAGCCTTCAAACGATTCATCGTTAATAACAAAGGCACAGTGAATACCATCTGCAGAATAATCAGCCAGATAACCGCCCTGGGGCAAGACCTATGCCAACCCCACTAATTCAGGTTCTTAAGTGAATGTAAGTACTCCTCTGCATCTAAGGAAATACAGTATCTTCCTTCTGCTAAGCGCATGTACCTTCTTTATTAATAGTATTTATGTGTCATGTCATGTATGTGTTATGTTAATATTTTTTTTTTTTAATGTGTAACCAGTATGTTATGTAACGTATACCTTGCAAACCTAAATCTGTAATACAATATAAATAGCCAATGTATCTCTCATCTGCCCCTGTATGGCAATGTAATAAATCTTTTAAGATCTCAATAAACCTCCGGTAGATAGGGGAGGGCGCGGGACATATGCCTGTTTACCTCTGTTAAACACCAGGCGTCCCCGTCCTCCGTCACCTGTCACCTGCCTCCTCCTCAACCCGGATGTGCAGGGGAAGGAGACCAGCAAGTACATTAATGGCATCGGTGGAGGTGGTGCGGTTTTAAAGAACAACAATATTACGCCAAATTTTACGTATTTACGTACTTGTTAACTGCATCAATACGCGTGTCAATGTTTCTTTTAATTTTTCTCTTGCGGCCCGCACTATTCTTTACTGATAACTATTTAGCCCCTTGAAGTACTGAGTTTGACATGCCTGACATATACAGTCTCTTTATACCGTTTTCTCTGAATACATCTTTCCCTGAGAAAAAAACTGCTGTGGAACATTATACACTCTCTTCTGAAAACATATACGACCATCTACTAGGGGGGCAAGGGAAGTTAATGTGGAAATAATGACATTCAAAAATCAAAGACGACAACTAATAACGCCCACTGGCAGTTCAAAACTAATAAACTAATAACACCCACTGTCAGCCCTCAAAGTTCCGGCATCTTTTTCTTACTTGCATGAAAGCATTCAGAAATCTGTTATGCGCTTTAAAAGATTCCAAAGAAATGCATGATTATAAACATATATAAACTTGTACTGTTTATGTTTGTAATTGATGTTTTTTTCTAAGCACTGTAAAATATCTTGGATTATTTAAATATCGCAGTAAACATTATAAAGAAACATTGTATACTACAAAAAGTTATTTCGATGGCTGTGGAAAACAAAACAAAAAACAAACAAACAAACAACAACAACAACAACAAAAAAAAAGACTTGAAAATTTCATCAAAAGGCGTTTAAAATATTTTGCATTTAATACACAATAAAGTGACAATTTATGACATTAAAAAGTACACACAACCGAAATAGCATAACATAAAAGCATACCTTGTCCATTTGGCACATCTGTTACATATGTAGGAAACATTTTAACAGCTGCATTGCTGTGCGTGTCCCAAGATAGTCCCTTATGAAATTCATGCAAGAGGCTTACAGATACCTTCTGAAGTTGGTCATTAGTGAGAACTAACTCTCTGGTTAGTGCTTCAATCTGTTGAATAATAGATGACACATCATTATCTAAAAATAAATTGACTGCTGAATGTTCATTGAATAAGTTGGGCTTGAAACTTAACATTCTAAAGTCGCATGAATAACAACAACCCTAAAATGTAGCAAATGGTAAAGTATTTTTAAATGCAAATAAAAATTTCAGAATAGTTTTTTTCCCCTCAAAGATGAGATACGATGTTTTCTCAACTCTGAGAGAAAGGTTTTGAAATCTTCGAATGATGAAAAAAAATTCTTTTATATTTTTATATTATAACAGGAACTATTTTTTTTTCTAGAACATAATAAACATGTGATCAATTCGTGTTGACATTATACAGTACTTAATTTCAATTATAGTGTTAAGCATCAGGGTATGAGAAACACTAGTAGAGGTTCCCAAAGAAGAGTGTAAAGTTTCAGTTCAAAGCAAATATGACCTTGCCTCCTGTGCGCTTTTGCTTTACTCACTTGCGAACAAGAACTGTTTTCAGTGAGCAACTACTCGGTACGTGCAAATAGTTGTTCATTTAAAAAAAAAAAAAAAAAAAAAAGCATGCATAGAGGATTTTTTTAATGTAAAGATTGCCAGTTTATCGAAACTAAATCTGTTATCTTAAATAATAAAGCTAAAAGTGTTGACCTTAAGTCATAAATTAATATTTATGTACATAGAATGTTAAAAAAAACAGTTTTCGGTTTATCCAGACAAGCGTCCTTTTGACATAGCGTTGAAAGGAAACGTACCCAAGGAAGTAAAACGGATATGGTTATTAAGAATTTTACTTTAAAAAAAATATTTCTAAACCCCGATACTTTTTCTTTCATAATTTTAAAAAATCCATTAGATATACCCTGAAGCATAATGCCTTTGAGATGAATAACGCTGAATTTTATTGAAAGAAGCGAAAAATGATCTGAAAATCGAAGGACGCCAAAATAGCCAACATACTGTGATTAATTTTAGAAAAGGAGGAGAAATTTTAAACCAGTTTCCCATTTAAGGAAATTCCTTACTAGCTTAACGAATTCTATGCAAGCAGAACTCATCAACTGATTGATTTATGAATGAAAGTTAACAGTAATATTATGCTTTTTACTCATTAATCCTCACACGAATGGCCGACATTAAAAATATTTTTTTTAATTTGGCAGTAATTCATGTTTCAACAATCTTTCGAACCTGCTTTAACGTGTGTCACTGTAAAGTGCGCGTTTGATAATTAAATAAAAGCGGTAGTTATATATATATATGTGTAATGTCATAATTTAAGTCAACTTTTACACACATAATAATAATAATATATATAATGCTATTATTTAAGGCCCCTTATAAATTCATGAAGAATACGCGGTTTTGGAGTAGATGAATAAGTTTTATTTTTTGAATAAGTGTCTCTTTTGTGGAATTTGCCATTTCATGAATTCGTCGACTTACGGATAATGGAACATTATTCAGTTTGATAAAGGGATATTATTAAGTTTATAAGGTAGTTCTCCCGCCTTCATGGTGTAGTGGTCAGCACACTCGGGGCGTATTCGAGAGGTCCGTGGTTCGAGTCCCGGCGAAGGCATTGCTCATTGTTCACATTTCCTGCTTCGAAATAACCTTATGCTTCTACAGTGGCGCCCGAACTAAAAAATGTGGTGGATGATGATTCTCCACCACCAGGATTTGGCGACTGGGTCCCCTAATCCCCAGATGCTCTTTAAAAGGGAGTGTATATAAGGTATTTCTCCCGCCTTCTGAGCATGCCTTCGTGGTGTAGTGGTCAGCACACTCGGGAAGTATTCGAGAGCTCCGTGGTTCGAGTCTTGGCGTCAGCATTACTCATTGTTCACATCCCCTGCTTTGAAATAACACAATGTCTCTACAAGTTCATTAGGCGCTTTTTCGTTGAATAATGTTAAAATGATATCTTTAGTTGCTGGTAATATACGGTTTTCTCCAACAGTGTGAGCCTGCCCAATCTTGGCAATTCTTAGGCTAGGTAACTAGCTTCCAAAGCTTTTTCTCTTGAAGTACAAAACCTTTCATAACTTGTTTAGTATTTATGAATTCCGATAAATTCCTCTTAAAATATTGATTCGAGATGGCTTTTAAGAAACAATGGTTTCATACTTTCCTCTGATAACAGTTCACCGCAAACTAGACATTTTGAGTAGAAAAGTAAAGAGTACAACAAAGCAACAAAAAGACAAAATACCTGCTGTCAAAGGACAGCAAATCGACGTAAAAATCATTCTAGTTGAAAATAGAGCAATATGAGGCCGTAAATAATGCTGACGACATAAAATGTAGACATGCTAATAAATCGATCAACTCTAAAGGAATTAATGAGATACTATTATCTTTTCATAGGAATTTAGTTTTGAGCGGCTACAAACCTTGAACAAAGCTCAGATAGCATAAATTTAAGTGTTACAGAAAAACTTAAACAGGATGATGGAGTATTTAAATTTTGAATTTAATAGCTACAAATACTTTATTTCTTTTATGTACCAGCTATTTTTCTCTTGCGTACCACCGATTGAGAATCTCTAGTCTAAGGTTTTTTTTTTTTTTTTTTTTTTTTTTTCTTTTCGTAACAGATTATGATTTTTGTCTGGTGTTAGTGTGTGAAGCATTCCAAATTGTGCAATAACACACGCTCTTCCACTCAATACATTTTGATGAGAGGGCGTGAAAAATAAAGTGTAGAATAAAGGGAAAGAGTATGAAATAGTCTGACAAAGTTGAAAAGTAAAATTATGTGAAATGTGTCAGTAATTTTCCTAAAGTATTTTTCCTTCCGGATGACTGCAAGGAAAGCTGATGCTGAGAGAAATTAAAATGTATTATGAAGAATTATCTTGTGGAGGCTGTAATATTTAATAATTTGTAAATGGCAACATTTAACATTTAATAAGTAATTGGCAACACTTTGGATAGATATATGAAAATAGAACTATGCTGGTATTGCAGTTCTCTGTAATATAATACATTCTATGATTATAAATAAATGGTTTCTAAAAACTAAAAGTGCATCCTCATTATTCTATATGGTGTCAGGAGTATTTTGCTTTCAAAACGGAAAGTTTAAAACCACCAGAGCCGATGAAATTTGATGGAAATCTTGCTTCAAATTGGCAAAGATGGCTACAATCATTCGAAATAATATGAAGTAGCTGGTGGATTAGACAATAAAGAAGAGAAAGTAAGAGTTAATACTTTTCTTCATGTAACAGGAATTCGTAGTCTTGAAATATACAGGGTGTTTCACAGATCGACAAACTTGGAGGGGTGGTGGAGCGTACTAAAACATTCGTTTTTTATAGGGATGTAGGGTCTAAAGTGACGGGTTATAGCAGGAACACACACACACACACACAAAAAAAAAAAAAAAAATCGACACGACAAGAAAATGTGTTTATGTACAAAATCAACGCAAAATTCTTCTTTGTAGCAATACAGCATTCACAATAAATGTTCAAAATTGCCATCACCAGCAGTAAACATGCTTGGTAACGTCGCAGAAGGGATTGACGAACATTCTGACATTCTGAAAACGACAGGCATTTCGCGAACGCTTGCAGCCGCAATGGATAGTCGTGCAACGAGGTCCTCCAGTGAGTCAACGGGAGTCTCGTAAATGATGCTCTTCAGATGGCCCCATAAAAAAATCCAAGCTGGATAAATCTGGCGAACGGGGTGGCCATCGAAAGGGTCCACCACGGCCAATCCATCGGCCCGGAAATGTCCCATCCAAGTAATTACAAACCCGCACGTGGTTATGGGCATCATGCTGGAACAACATGCGATCATGAACGACAGCCGGAACATCCTGCAGCAATTCCGGTAGCACCTCTTGCAGAAAAATATGATAACATAATCCATTTGTACGTGCAGGTAAGAGGTATAGGCCTATGAGGTAGTTGTTAACAATACCCGCCCACACGTTCACGGAGAAGCGGGTTTGGAATGCATGTGGACGTGTGCCGTGTGGATTATGAGTTGCCCACACGTGCATGTTGTGGCTATTGAAGATGCCGTCCTGTGAGAAAGTTGCCTCGTCCGTGAATAGCACATCCGATGGGAAATCCGCCTGCGCCGCACACTGCTGCGAGAACCAATGACAGAAATGAACTCAAAGATGGTAATCTGTCTCTTGCAAGGCTTGGACTCTGCAAATGGTATGGGTACAAACAATTTTTATACAATACTCTCCAAACGGTGGAATGATTCAGCTGCAGACAATGTACAATAGCTCTTGTACTTGTCTGAGGTGATTCATGCACAATGTTCAATATGGATTCTTCAATGCGAGGTTGTCGTGCACTTCTTCTTCCACTCGTTTCAGAGGTGGTTTCAAATGATCCGTTTTCACACAGAGGCCGATGCAACCTCTCGAACATTGTGTGCTTCGGCATACGCCTGTTCGGAAACCGTTCCCGGTACAACCGTAGCGATGCTCTGCCATTCCCATTAGCAGCACCATACATCAGATGCATGTCAGCTTTTTCCCTGTGCATAAACTACCCATCACGCTCGACATCAGAGTTGCGGATGATCCTCTGATGCATCGGATCGTGGTTTGTCCGGCTCACTAGCGCCCTCTACCGCTGCATTGCCAGCCAATCACAGGTGTAGTTCCTATTACTGTTCCCTTTTTTGAACATTTATTGTGAATACTGTATTGCTGCAAAGAAGCATTTTGCGTTGATTTCGTACATAAACACATTTTCTTCTCTTGTCTTTTTTTTTTTTTTTTTTTTTTGGGTGTGTGTGTGTGTGTTCCTGCTTTAACCCGTCACTTTAGACCCTACACTCCTATACAAAAAATGCATGTTTTAGTACGCTCCACCACTCCTCCAAGTTTGTCCCATGATCTATGGAACACCCTGTATAATGAATTTCCTATAGAGGAAGGTAAAGATATTAAATTAAATAAAATTAAGACATAATTTACGGAATATTGTATTCCTAAGAAAACATTACATATGAAAGACATTTATTCTTTA